TCTTTTTGACGTAAAATTTTATACAGTATACCTCCATATACCGAGATGAGCCATTTTGACCCCCACGGAACGTAAGTTAAAATTTGTTTTAAATTATTTTGAAAATTATTATTATTATCATTGTCAGTTTATTATTCAATTTTCACTCATACAAACATAAAAATTGCTATCTTCTCTTATGACTTATTAATTTGAAAAACAAGTCATTTTGACCCCTTCGGTAAAAGTACGTGCACGTCAATCGCCGGCAGTTCTAATGTTAATAGTTTTATGGATACTGCATTTCGATTATGTACTGTTGAAACGTAACGCGGACGACGCGACCGTTATACTACAACGGCGAGACACGGATGGATATGCATTTCCTGTTAAATAGCAACGACAATCAGAACGTTCGTAAATTTAGCCGAGCCATCCCCGTGGCTCGTAAATAACCCGTCATACCGTTCGCGACCTAATCCAAGAACGCCGCACACTCGTCGCCCTGTTTTACGGACGGCTGCCCTATACATGTACCCGACGCGCACGTTTCATCTCGCAATGCGTCTTATAACCGTGAAATCAATCATGGATTCTCAACCGGTCCAATAAAATTTACGCGTTGCACGGTGCACAAAAATACGGATCACACCGAAGTGCAGTTTAAGAGAAATCGAAGACCGAGAGTGGTCTCGCAGGTTTGGCGAGGGAGTAAAAAGGAACGGAGCGTTCGCGAGGCGCGGAAAAGCGTGAAAAGCGGCCGAGGGGAACCGGATGTTGAATATCCGGTGTTACGTATGCATTACTCGGCGCCGCCGCCGAAAAACGGTGACACACGGCTGGCCACTCGTGAATTTAATATCGTCCAGCTGGAAATAAACGCGGTGAAAAGGGCGAACGAGAGGCAAACGGCGAACCGGGGAAAGAAAAAGGAAAAAAGAAAGGAAAATTGAAGCGAGCGAACGAGGAATGACGAGAAAGGGACCGTGACCTGACGTGGACGAACGGACGGAGCTCGGCGACAGAATCTCTCTTCGTCGATCGATCGTAAGTACCGACGCGAGACTCTTACGCTCGTCTCAATTTTTGCACGCGAACTGCTGACTCGGCGACCCGGGAAGTTAGACACGGCGCACGGACAGATACTTTATCGAATTGTTCGCCGTAGTCATCGCCTACGGAAAGCCGAGGAAGAGGGAAGACTCGAGGGAACGCCGGGTTATGAGAAACGATTCGAACAGTAGAGAGATCTAAGCGCGTTTCAACAGACCGACGGAATACAACGTACGTTCGCGAGACGTACATACACGTAACATGCGAGTACACGAAGAAAAACGCTTGCACTCTCAGCCCTGCACTTGTGTCACACGACTCGGAAAATCCGATGGGGTTACGCCATTGTCGGACATCCCTTTAACGCCGTTTACCGGCTATAATTAGCCCAACGAGATGACATTTCGCTCCGACGACTCCAATTCCCGACGAGATTCGATCGACACAGCCCGCGACCCGAAAGAAATCAATATGAGGTGACATCAATCGCAACTCCTTGCAGGAATGATCGTTTTTACTGTACGCTTCATAGGAAGAGGAAATGCGTACGTAGCATTCCGTTCTGTTTTCAAACAATTGTAACGACGCTAATTGAGAATCTCAGTAGCGAGTACGAGAAATTTTTGCCGAAATTAATGAAGAACGAAGAGGATCGATGATAAAACGTTTGAAGCATGAATGATGAACCACTCCGCGATACCGGGCCGAATATCGATACTAAGGAACCACTTAGTGATGGATAACTCGGAGTTAATCGGTGCATCCTTGCTCGAGAACTTGCAATTAACACAATTTCCGTAGAAATTCAGGCTCGAGTGGGCAGCGTGAAACGCGGGCCTCCGATTCGCGGGATACTAACTGACCTATTTATACACGGATATACGTATATGTATTGAAGCTTTCCACGCTCGGGGTTTCGAGTAAAACATCACGGAAACGTTCCCCGTTCACGGACGCCCGGAATGAGCCCCTGATGCTGATTTTGGATACTTGCTGCGTCAAGTGTAATCGAAACCCGGGTTAAAAGCTACAGAGTAAACGGCCTGCCATGTAGAATAGTAAAACGAATGAAATTGGAGTCGAGAATTAACAGTATACAAAAATAAAGCGTTCGTATCTCGTAATTTATTCATTGCCACTGGCTGTGAACTGCTTGTGAAAAAAAGACTTGACTAATCTTAATTGTGTCGCTATAAAAGTATGTTAACTTCTTTTCAGAAATAAATATGAATAGTATGACATTTTGAGGGTTGAGGATTTAAATCTTGGTTTCCTGAACTCCTGTACTCAAAAATATTAATCTAGGGGTGTGTATAGTACATGTGTACATGTAGACGCTGTAGGGGATTGTTTCGCCTTTATTTTTACAATGTCAATCTCTAATTGTCTCACTATAAAAATAAGTTAGCTCATTTTCAAAAATAAATATAAATAACATGATATTTTGGAGGATTCAAAACTTGGCAAATTTTTTCCTGAACTCATGCAAAAATATTAGTCGAGGGATGTGCACAGTACATATAGCCGGCAGGGGTTGTTTCGCCTTTATTGTGTGAGCGTGTACGATCTCGCTCCTCGCTGGGTGGCACGCATCCCCCGTTGAGTGCCGCGCTAAATTTAGAGACCGACACAGTAAGGTTTATTCAAATTACTCCGCAGCCGACGGACCCTTCGATCGCGGAGCAGGCGAGGGCGCCTGGTTCGCACCTTGGGAACGAATAGGCGCACTCGGATAAACGCGAGACAGTTTCACTGCCAGCGACAACGACGGCACTGCGAAATTAAACGGAGCTCGCGCGCCGAGCTTAATGAAGCGCAAACTTCCGCGTCGATTAAGGCAAAGCTTCCTTTCCTCTCTCGAATATATACGTCGTCGCGCTTTTCGAAGACCTCCGTTTGAATCTTTCCCCAGCGTTTATTCATGACAAGTGTCATGGATAGTTTCGTAAGATTTACGGACGTCGACGCTTTGATAACCGCGCGCACTGTGCATCATAAACGAGGCTCTTACACGATGCGCACGCCGCCGTGAAACACGCGCTTTTACCACCGTGTTTATAATTGATAATTCTGAAAATATTTCCCTTCCCTGCAGCGGAGTCAGGCTCTCGTCATTCTGTCAACACGGACGGTTTGCATAGTTAAAACGTTAACTTTGGGATGTTACGTACAGCGAGGCCGATCTAATCTTCTAGGATTATACATAGTGAAATTTCAGTCGTTCAGAATATACTCTTTCCGAATAATAGAATCTCCAGACAGTAGAGTATTTCAATGGCTCTTATTCGTGTAATGCTACTTCAAAGGGAAACTTAATGGAAATCTACTTCAAAAGTAATTCTATGTGATTCGATTGCTGAGCGCTGGCTGTATAATGCTTTTTGAAAAGTCTGTATTCCATTCAAATTATTAGTAATAATTCTCTTACAAAAAAAATTCA